TAGCCGACACATGATGCGTTCCAGGTCCACAGGCACCGCATGCACGGCGTGCTCCTCCCGCGGACATTTGCAGTGTTGGCAGATCTTTCTGAGGAGGCCGGGATGAGAGGTCGATTAATAAGCGATAGCCCACTTGAACTCCTCGGCAGCCCAAGGAAGTCCAATTAAGGGGCAGGGACATGCAGATTATCACCAGCAAAAGACTCGGAGCCGGGTCAGGACTCTGGGCCTGGGGGCGGTGCTGAGCGGAGGTGGGGCTGTGAACGAAACCGCTGTGGGGAGTGGTCGGGCTGTGAGGGGCGGAGCGGCCAGCTGGGGGCAGGGCTGTGAGACAGGGGCGGGGGGGCGTGCCTGAGAGCTGAAGGTGGGGCTGTGGGCCTGGGCCGTGGATGCGACAGGGGTAGGGGCGCTGTGGGGAGATCTCAAAGCCATTCCCTGACTTTCACCGCTGGGACTTGGGTCAAACTCTCCCCGCAGCGGGCCTGGATAGGGGCAGGACTCTGAGTCTGAGATCGGAGTTATAAATTTGGGGGCTTCCTTCGGGACTTTGGCCCTTGTGGGGGAATATTCCCTAGGGATGGATTCCAGCTTGCGCTGAGGCTCTTGTGGGCGGGTGGGGCCCTGAGCCTGTGGGTAGGGCTCTGTCTGAGATATTTTATGGGACGTTTTGCGTCCTAGGAGGATAGGACACTGGGTCTGGGAGAGGAGTTCTGAGCACAAGACGGGGGCTGGTGTTCAGTGGGCGATGCTCAGAGCCTGGGACGGAGGATCTCCCTAGAGATGGGACTCGGAAGCTTGGGGAGGTCACTTCTGGGGGCCAGGCTGTGTAGTGGGCGGAGCTCTCCTGGGAACCAGACAATTGGGAGTGAGTCAGGGGCGGGGCTCTGAATCTGAGCTTTCTCCGAAGTCCCGGCTCAAGCCTAGGGGCGTGGCCTAAATCTCTGGGGATTCCCCTGACAGCAGGACCCTGACGAAGACTAGGCCCTGGGATGATCACCTACCTCCAACCATGCAGCAGGAATCCGGGGCACTGCTCCCTGCAGGAGTTGCAGGGCTGGCCGCGGTCTGGGTCCTCTGCCTCTGGAAGCTGTAGTGGGCGAGGACAGACGCGGACCGAGCAAGGTGTGCGGGAGGGATTGAGAGAGAAGTCAACGCCCACCTCTCCAGTCCAAGACCGGCAACCGCACGCTGGGGCCTGTCCCACCAGGGCAACGCCAGGCAGGCTGGGACAGCGCCCAGAGCGCGGGGGTGGGGGACACAACCGAGGTAGAGGCGGGACAGCCGAGGCCACCTCCCTAAATGTCCCTTTTCCAAGGAATTCCTCTCGCCAAGTCAGCCTCAGAATCCCCTCACCCAGCCTCAGTACCTCCGCCCAGCCTCTGACTCTTCTATGCCTCAAAATACCTACCCTAGAACTCAGAGCATTCTCGCCACCAGAGCAGAATCCCTAATGTGAATGTCTTCTTCCAGGCCTCATCTCGGCCCCTTCAACACCCACAAAGCCAGCGGCACTCCAGTTCCACAGGGTAGGATTCTGAGACCCCATCCTTACTTGGGATCCCCACAAGAACCCTGCTCCTCTTTTCAGAAGCTCAAGAGCCCCTCCTGCAAGCCCTGGCTTCACCTTTTCATATCCAAGGAAATGAGACCCTCCTCCAGGATCTCAGGAGGCCCTTGAGCCATTCAGAAACCCACACCCCAATAAGCCTGGCCCTAACCCCTCGTATCCTAGGGCTATTTACTCCTTCTCTGGATCGCCAAACTCAGACCTCACCCAGACATCCCCACCAAAGGAAGATAGAGACCCTCCTATCTAGAGAGTAAAAAACTCCCTGGCACAAGAGGAAGCCTGGAAGCCCTCTTCAGCAAATTCCATTCACTGGACTCTCAGTATTTGGACACCACAGAAGTGTAGGGCCTCAATCCTCAGTTCACCTTCCGCCAAGGTACAGGGGTAGGTTCCTTTCCTCAGAAGCTCAGAAGGTCCCCACTCAATCCAGGACTCCAGGACTCAATCTTTTGGCTTTCAGAATCCCCTCTCATAATTAACCGAGAGGGGAGTGCACCAGATCCGCGGGGTGCTGATAAAGGTGTGCGGAGAGGTAATTACGGAGCAAGGGCCACCAGATCTCCAGTTCCTTCACCCACATGCTTCCAATAGCTCCAGACCCTCGGGTCTGGGAATCCTGGGGATGAGGATTCCTAGATCCTCTGTGAAGCACCTCTTTACTATCCCTCTCCCCCTGCCCCCCTCCCCTGGGCCTCAGTTTACCCCGACCCCCGCCGCTGCCGAGTCTAGCTCACCACGCGCCCAGAGCGGCGCCTCCGGGACCCACGCGCGAACATGGCGCGTCCGAGCAGGGTCAAGCCGGGCCGGGTCGGGCGAATGGAATCCTTGTGGCCGTCTGGCCACCGCGCGTCCAGCAGAGGAGCTCTGTTCCGTAAACCTGACACCGGCAGGGGAGGAGCGCGCCCAGCCGGGTCCGCCCCTGGGCCTGTTGTCTCTCTCGGGCCAAGGCGCCCCCTGCCTAGAGGTGAGGGGCCCGCAGCCCGGGAGCGCCGTGCGCGAAAGCTCCCCATGCGCTCCTGCCCCGGCGGCGGGAGCTGGGCCTCAGAAGGCACGGCCCCTAGAACCCCAAAGTTCCACATGGTCTCTTACAGGACATTCTAGCGCTTGAGGGCTCTGTAGAGGAGGAGGGGGAACTTGGAAGTGGCCACCTGACTTCAAGAGGTGTGCTCTACGGTACTTCTATTGACGCTTCGTGTCGATTTAGCTTGGATGTTTATTTGGGGGACGGGTTAAAACCACATCTTGGCCCCCTCCCCACTGGTGATGTTACGAAGGTCTCTTTCCCCGGATGAATGCTGTAAGAACAGTCCCCAACCCCATCGCAGCCCCAGCTGGTGCTCCCTTGCCCCATCAGAGAGCTAGATCTTACAACCCTCCCACCCCTGCTCCCATCCCCTTTCAGAGCTAGGATTATTTGAGATTTATAGGGATGGGGCTAAAGTTACTGACCAGGTTCGGAGACCCTCTTCCCTGCTAACTCCCCATCCTTACAGGCCCAGCTGTGGTGCCCCCTAAGTCCTGAGAAATATATTTTAAAGTCTTTTCTCCCCTGCTCCCGTTTTTCCCTCTCCAGTTAGATATTCCTTTCCCTGAGCTCACTCTCAGAGCTGAGAGTCTCTCCGTGCTCCAGGCTTTGCTGTGCCTCGGAATTGGGAGGAGGTGGGGGGTCTCCTGGCCACAGTCAAAACTCTCGTGCCCAGCCGAGGTCTCTAATTAGGCACCGCAGGGTGGCGACGGTCCGCCCAGCCTTTTCATCGTGGGCGTCAGGAACCTCACACCCCTACCCCTGCCCCTTTACGCACATCCCTGATACTTCCTGTCCCTCCCTGCCCTAGGGAGGAACCAGGAACATGTTATAGGGAATGAATGAATGAACTAACAAGTCACCTCGGCCCCCCCACCCCCGGGCCTAGCAGCCTAGCCAGTCTTTCGTTTCTCCAGCTGAAGCGAAGGCAAGGAAATGGAGAGAGAGCAGTGTCTGAAGAATGCAAGAGGGGTGCCTAGAAGGAAGTCTCCCTGTGAAGTATGGGTGTCCTATTTGAACCCTTTGGGGATTCGAGGACAGGGCTCCACAGGGGCTGGGAAGGGGTGTGGCTAAGGGACCGGAATGAGAACTGAACCCTAGAAAGATTGGACATTTGGTGGCCAGTAGCGGGGCATTTGGTGGCCAGTAGCGGGGCAGTGGGCAGGGCTATCCAGAGTGTGACTTAAAATGATCGGCAGGCCAGGCTTCACAGAGGATGCAGCTTGGCAAAACGCTGTTGGAGGGGCTGAAAACTCTGGGGTGACTTGAGCAGTGCCCAGCAGGTTGGAGGCAGAGCTTCCTCTAGCCTCCTCTTCCCCATCTTTCCCTTCATCCATCCGCCCCCACCCCCCAAAAAAAGACACATCGAGAAGTCAGAGCCCTGTGGACTAGGTAGTTGAGGAGTTTATTTAGGGGAGGAGAATTAATCATATTTGTTCTTCCTTGGGGAGGGAGTCTTCAAACAATACCAAAGGGCACGGGAAAGGGTGGGGGTCTGGAGGGGAGAGGGGAGGGGCCACAGCCAGACAAAATGGCAACACACGATCACAGGCACTACCGACGTCACAGACACAGCAGAGGGTTCAGGATAGGGGCTCCAGACCGGGCCTCCAACCACCCTGGGATGGATGGGTGTGTGGAGGAAGGGAAGAGGCAAGGGGAGGCGGGGAGAGGGGTGGGTCGGCCCCACAGACCCTTTGGCTCTGTCCTCTGATTGCCTAGCTGTCCCATCGGGGGATGAGCAAGGGATTCAGCAAATCCCATTCACTGGGTGCTTCTTTCTGGATCCCATCCCTTACCCCTCAAGCTTTACCTCTTAGTTCTTCCCAGGCCACCTCAGTCCCCAGCC